TCCTCCTCTTCGTCCTCCTCCTCCTCTTCGTCCTCCTCCTCCTCTTCTTCCTCCTCCTCTTACTTCCCCTCTTCCTCCTCCTCTTCTTCCTCCTCAAGAACTACTTCTACTTTGTCTCTCTGACACTTTTATCAGTTTTTGTTTTTCTGTAGTTTACGGTTATTTTTTACAAAACTGTGTTTGTTTCTCAGTTTCACTTTTAACCCAGCTTTCACACAAATATTGAGACTCCTTTATATCTGTTTAATAATAAGCTTAACAACACAATAGCTGAGGAGTTATTAATCTGTTCTTAACCCTCTAGCTAATTTGACTTCCTCTCTGAGTATATCTCAGAGATGTTTGCACTATGTAGCTTTCCTGCTGCAGCTCCTTCCACTTTTGGCCCCTCTTGGACATCTGTCTGTTTCTGAATCCCCTTACTTTCTCTTCTAACTCTTCCTCCCCTGGCTGGCAGGAAGTCCAGCCCTGTTCTCTCCATTTTAAAGCTAGCTGCTTTATTGGCATATCAGGGGACATTTGGAGAGCAGTGTTTACACAGCATTGAAACAAGAAATTCTTAGAACAAGGATTGCAATCAGATATGGGGGATACAGAAATCAGCATTTGAATTACATAATATCCTTAGGCCTACAATAAAGTCTTTTATTCTTTCCTCCTTTAGTTTTTAAGGACAGGGTTTCTCTATGTAGCCTTGGCTGTTCTAGAACTCTATAAACTAGGCTGGCCTTGAAATCATAAGAAATCGGCATCACTCTTGCCTCCAGAGTGCCAGGGGTAAAGGTGTGTACCACCACCACCCAGTAATAAACAGTCTTTAGGTTAAAGAAAAATCTGGAACCAGAAAGATGCAGACAGAATGTTGACTGACCAGAATGAATGAATGAATTCATTCATTCATTCATTCATTCATTCATTCATTCATCCATTCATCCATCCATCCACCCATCTATTTATCTATTTATTTATTTATTTGCTCATTCATTCATCCACGCATTTATCTATCTATCTATCTATCTATCTATCTATCTATCTATCTATCTATCTATCTTATCTATCTATCTATTTATTTATTTATTTTCAAACAAGTATTTAAAAGCATCTGGATGGTAGCTTTATTCCCATTTCAATGGATTCTAGTGCTATTTGTTTGTGTTTAGATCATGATAACATGCAGTTGACTTTCTATGCTCTCAGATATTAGAGAAATATGGGATTATTTGTAGGGATGATTTTCATTGGTACTCTTAAAAATTGTAGATTTTGTTAAAGTCATAGCAGGGCCATAAAACTACAGAATAATGTATTTAATCACAATTTCCATTATTTCAGATACTTTTTTATATGCCTTAAAAATATTAAGGGTTTTTTCTAAAGAATTTTTTCTTCACTATTTAAATAATTTTTATTAAAGCAAGAAATTTTACAGTCCATATTATGTGTCCTGGATCAGCTATCAATTGTTAGTTAAAACAGAACTATCTAAACTTTTCCACAGTAAAGAATTAAATAGTTAAGGGAATGAAAGCTTTGAAGTTCTATACTTTGATGAGAAGTACTTTATTTAGGGTCTTTAATACATTAATTTGTTTTCCTATTTTATAGTTTTGTGAATTGTTGGTTTTGCATCAAGTAATTGAGGACTAGTCATGCTCACTTAAACAGAGCATTTGCTTGGTACATAAAGTTCAATATTTCTTTTCCTTTACTTTTATCTTTCATAACTTTTTTATGGTGCTTAAATTTGAGGTATTATATCATATCCTTTATCTGTGGAGCATGGGTTTCTTTTCAGGTGCCAAGATCAGGTGTAAACAGCTAGAACTTCAGTGGCATTGCTTTCTGGGCAGCTGCCACAGCATGGTGGGCTTGTAGGATACCTGTATCCTCCTCAGCCTTGGAGTAAGACACACTGGAGACTCAAGCCTATGAACTACTTCCAAGCTAGCAGTCTCCAACAGAGTACCAGTGACTTTACCAGTAACAGTAGGGTTCATGACTTAAATAAGAAAACAACTCTCCACTCAGCATTGGCTTTTGCTCTTGAGTAGGGGACAGATACCAACATGGAAACACCTAGAGGCTCCTGGCCTTGTTCATGACTTGGAGCGGGGATAGAGTCTCTTACAGACAGTTTGTATTCTAGGCTGGCCGGAAGCTTACATTCACATGTTGTAGCTTTGCCTTGGTATTCTCTAAATAAACAATATATCGTATTTGGATTGCTTTCTACTTGAGTAGACTAAGAAACAGTTAAAACAATAATGTTTTAATTTTGATGAACTTAAAATATCAAAGTTATATCTACCTAAGTGGAGAGGGACAAACCAGTCAGAGAACTTTGCCAGCATGTTTTCTTAAACACAAGAGGATGCTGGCATTTGAAGGTTAAATCAACTGCAGGTGCACACAGTGGGGCTTTTGGTTTGTTTGGATGGTTTGTTTATTTTTTATTTTTTTGGTGGCTAACTTTGTATATATTCTTGGAAATGGGTAATAAAAGGTCAAATTGTATTAATTTCCAAGAAGTATAGTGTTAGCTTTTAGAAAGCCCTTTGTATTCAAAGTGTATTTATAATGGTGATGGAAAGTCCTTCATCTTCTGATTGTTTACAGATTGCAAACTCAATGGTGAGCACATGGACAGGACCACCAGCCATGAAGTCCCTTTTTACTAGAATGTTTTGTTGTAAAACTTGTCCAAACATCGTGAAAACAAACAACTTCATGAGTTTTCAGAGTTATTTTCTACAGAAGGTACTCCTATTTCTCTTTGTTCTTGTGTTTTTATATTAACCTAACTTTATTGATGTTCACCTAGAATGACTTTTTTTAGTTTACAAACTCTTGTGTATCTGTTTGATTTGGAAACTGTGTATTATAGGTGTGTATTTTTATAAGTCGGCCTCTGCTCTAAAGCTTTTCTAAAATTTTAAGTGATCATTGATTTTTATCAACTTTATACAAATCATATCCACATTAGTTGATCATGTTTGACTAAAGGAAAGCCAAATGAGAAAGTTAATGTAAAAGACAGATAAGGCTTTGAACAGGAGAAAGGAGGTCATAGGAGTTAAAGGGAAGGAAAGGTAAGAAGAACATTTTTTTTTCCTCAAGTGGAAAGGAATTTTTTTTTTTTTTTAAGTGAAACTCCTTCCATAGTTTGGAAGATTGTGGAAAAGGGGCCTGAAGCAATGTAAGAGCCCAAAGAATGTTGTGGGACTCTTTGTTTAGGGCAGGGAATGGCTGTTGCACTTTTGACCTCTCAGCAGCAGTGATTAAGTCCTACTCAAGATTGCGCCTTTGAGGCTTTATCTCCAGACAGAAGGATTTAGCAAGGCCGCAGCCCTCCCTTAGGGTATAAGGCAGTTAATGGTTATGGGACTGGCAGAGGCACTTCATGGTGTGGCAGCTGGTGAGGTGCCCATGTTCCATAAGCAATTCCAAGAAAACTCAGTGGGTCACCCAGAAATAAAACAGTAAAGAAAGACATGACAGTGGAGGAGACCTGCCTGGTTGGAAAGTGGAATAGGATTAACAGGAGTGGGAGTGGAGCTCTGCTTATAGGGGTAAAAAAGTGAAAAGAAAGGCAATGTGGAGGTTAGAGGTTTTGTTTTTGCTTTTGCTTTTCCTTTTTTTTTTTCTCCTAATGAAAGGAGAGGATGAGAAAGACAGGATGAGAACATGTGTGTACAGTAAAGGTAATTATGAGTCTCCTTTGGTTTTACTTTTTTGTTGTTTGTATGTATTCCAAAATGTGTCTGCATGTGTATTTGTTTGCAGAATAAAGTTTATTTCTTACTGTGGATTGAAGTAAAAAATTTGGAATGATAGTACTTTTAGTTCAATTAACTTTTATATAACACTTTCAGTTTGGCAGAAAAGAAAATTAGTGACTAAATCAAACATTTAAATTTGCCTTTCAAGAGTGCAATTAGGCAGAGAGAACAGATACTCCTGTGGGAAAAAGAAGCTTTCCCCCTAGATTTTCCTACAGAATTAACACTGCATCAGTTCCTGTTGTCATTGCTGTGACAAAGGCCACAGAAGGAAATTTTGTTTGCCCTGGCTCCCAGCTTGAGAGGATCTAGCCCATCATAGCGAGATAAGCGTGGCGCAGAGCTTGAGGTGGCATTGCATCTGCAGGCAGGAAGCAGAGAGCTATGAACCCTGGCTCTCAGCTCACTTTCTCGGTTTTATTTGTTCTGGAACCCCAGTCCATAGGATCGTGCCATCCATAGGGTGGATCTTGCTGTCCTCAGGGACATGCCCAGAAGTGTATCCCCGAGGTGATTCGAGTTCCAGTCAAACTGACAATGGAGATGAACCATCACACTGCTGTTGACTCTGTTTATTCCTCTATGTATTGCCCCCTTTTCACTCCTGCTCTGTAGCTCAAGCCGGCCTGGAATTCCTAATCATCTTGCCTCTACCTCCAGTGTGCTGGAATTGTCAAGAATGTACCTCCATTCTAGCTGCTTCTGCTCTTTTAAGCAAGTTTTAAAAATGAGCCATCTCATTTTTGATTATCCAATTCAGAAGGGAAAGTCTTGATATCTTCCATGTCCTAAGTAGGACTAAGATTTCTGTGTATCTACTGTTCTGTCTAGGGCTTAATTAGCTTTATTTCACTAGCAGAATTAACTGTTGTGTGTCTGTCATATTTACACTAACAGAAAATTACTTATAAAATTTTAGAAAGAAGAAATGTATGCTGAAATTTAGATTACTGTGTGTCCTTAGTCTGAGGGTTGGTAAGTTATACTGTTTGCTTAATGCCTTTTGACATCTGATCCTTGAGTCCTAAAAATGATTGTGAAAAAAAGCAAGGCAGTAAGCAACCAGCCAAAGATATCCAGGGTAGTAGATAGTGAAGGTGGGAGTTAAAAATGAACCAGTGCTGAATTTGTGTACTCTTTCCACTATATCACTTAGAAATGAATTGTATAATTTACATATTACATGCTTTCTTCCAGGAAGTGAGCGCTAAGGCACATAGCCTGTAGAACATGTCCACTAATAGAAATTAGTGGAAATTTCTTAGATTTCTTACCCATTTCAGTAGTAAGGCTTTTAGATGTGTCTGTAGTGGGAGCACATGGGAAATGTGGTATTAGGTTCCATCTAGGTATCTGTGTTAACCCCAGTCTAACTCTCGTTAGAGCACAAATTATGGTAATGAATAAGTTGGGTTACATGCTGAAAACTCTTTCCCTTTTTTTGTAGACTATGCCCGTTGCAATGGCTTTGTTAAGAGATGTGCATAATCTTTGTCCCAAAGAAGTTTTAACATTTATTTTAGACTTAATCAAGTACAATGACAACAGGAAAAATAAGGTAAGGTGCTTTTCTCAATGAGTATTCTAAAGTACGCAGTGATACTTGTTTTTCAGATAATATATGGGGGCCTCAGTCTCCAGACTGCAGTAAAAGAAAGAAAGAAATACTTGTTTGTAGAGTCATTGTGAGCCCATAGTACTCTAGAGCTAGAGACTCTCGATATGATTTATTTCTTTTAAAGATTTCTTGAAACTCCTATAGTACAGAAAGACTAGTGTAGCCAGCTGAAACTTGGTTTTATGAAGTCTAACAGCATGGTTGTTTTGATTTTGGTGTGTGTGTATGAGATGCTGGTGATGAACTCAGGGCTTTGTGCATACTAAAGATGTACTCTGCTTCTGAGCTGAAGTGATTTGAAGTTATATGTGTTATGTTAATATCTTATGAAAAGACCTAATTGTATCCTCTCTTAATTATTCTTTGGCTTAGTTTTCAGATAACTACTATCGTGCAGAAATGATTGATGCCCTGGCTAATTCTGTTACACCAGCTGTCAGTGTGAATAATGAAGTGAGAACTTTGGATAACTTAAATCCTGATGTGCGACTAATTCTTGAAGAAATAACTCGGTTTTTGAATATGGAAAAACTTCTCCCAAGTTACAGACATACTATCACTGTCAGGTATCACTCAGTTCTTTGCTGTTTCCTTAAAATTGTTTATTTCTGTTAGATTAAGTTGGGAAAGATAAAGTAAAAATAAGAAATTTAAATTTTCTGACACTATGATTTCCAGATGAATTGTTAATATTTGGAAAATATCCTTAAAATTTTCCTCTATAATGGAATTTTTAATTTTATAATACTACATATATATATTTATAATCAATTTCCATCATGTTATTATTTTCTAAAAAAATACTATTTTGTATATGTGTGTGTAGCACACACACACACACGCGAGCGCGCGCAAGCACATGATAGAGCTACTTGGACTGTGATGCATGGGTGGAGGTCAGGAACCAGCTTTGTGGATTTCTCTTTCCACCTTTATGTCGGCCCAGGATGGAACTTCCCAAGCTTACCTATATCAAGAACCTTCATGTGCTGAGCTACCTCACCAACCCTAGAAATTCTCTGTATGAAACTACTTTGTGATGTTAGAATCTTTTTTTATATCAGCCATTATTGTGTAAACAGTACCATTTTGGGTTTTTTGAGACAAGGTCTCACTTAGGTCAGTCTGTGTAGCCAAGGCTCACCTTGAACTAGCTCCTGCTCCTCCTGCCTTCACCTTCCAGATGCTGAAGTGCACCACCACTGATTTGTCAGTCATTGTTTCAGAGGACTTTTAAGTTCTTTGTCTGCTTTTGTGTAGGAACCTAAAAATTCTGCTTATCTCTTTGAGTTTGCTAAAGTTGATTAGTGACTATAAAAATTTTAGCTTTCCTATTTCCTTTTTTATTTAAAATTTTTTTCTTTTTATTTTCGAGACAGGTTCTTACTATGCTTTTTGGGCTGGCCTGGAACTCTGTAGACCAAGTTGGCCTCAAACTGAGAGATCTGCCTGCCTCTGCCTGCCACCTCCCACCCCCATCAACCAGGTTCTGGGATTAAAGCTTTGTGCCACCATGCCCAGCTAAGCTCCCATATTTATAGTGAATGAATATAATATTTCTGGAGAAAGTACTTTATTTAAATTATATTGTTATTGCTAAGTACTTAGGATTTCCTGAAGTATGTTTTTGTTTACATGTATGTGGATCTGAGTTTCCAAACATGTTTTGAAATTTATTTTCATAATATTTAGATACTAATATTGAATATTATTATAAAAGTTGAACATTGCAGAATGGAATGTGTGTTCCAATTATAATGTTTTTTTAATTACTTTGATTTTATGTGTTTTGCCTGCAAGTATGTGCACAAGGGCATCAGATCTCCTAGGACTAGAGTTAGAGACAGCTGTGGCTCATCGTGTGGGTGCTGGGAATCAAATCTGAGTCCTCTGGAAGAGCAGCCAGTGTTTGTAAACATTGGGCCATGCCTCCAGCTCCATAAATGAGGATTGTAATTGATTGACAAATGAATCGCTAACATCTAGGTAACAAATTTGGTTCATGATACTGTGGAGGAAGTAATTAACTTTTTTCTTGATAGTTGCTTGAGAGCCATAAGGGTGCTTCAGAAGAATGGACATGTGCCAAGTGATTCATCTCTTTTCAAATCCTATGCTGAGTATGGCCACTTTGTGGACATCAGGATAGCGGCTCTGGAAGCCGTTGTTGACTACACGAAAGGTAATGTTGTCCAGGGGTGCTTGTTTCTTCTTAAAAGAAGTATATCTGAAAGTTGCTCATGCTGCATCTTCATAGTGCATGCGCTGTGGATATTTTAATTGTTTTGAATTGCTTTTTATTTAGCATTCAAAGTAGTAGGTAGATTTCACCATGATATTTTCATGCATATTTATCCTTTATTGTCAAATTCTTGGCTCCCTGACTTTTAGTTGGTTTGGTAATGATAGAAAGAAAATAAAATTATAGACATTTTTAACTCATGGAAGGAGCTAGCAAATTCTACAAATTTAATTATACATTATTTTTATTTATTTTTTAATTTAATTTTTATTTTTTATATGTATTAATTACAGTTTATTCACTTTGTATTCCAGCTGTAGCCCCTTCCCTTCTTCCCTCCTAATCCCATCCTTCCTCTCTCATCTCCTCCCATGTCCCTCCCCAAGTCCACTGATAGGGGAGGTCCTCCTCTCTTTCTCTCTGACCCTAGCCTATCAAGTCTCATCAGGACTGGCTGAACTGTCTTCCTCTGTGGCCTGATAAGGCTGATCCTCCCTCAGGGAGAGGTGATCGAAGAGCCAGACACTGAGTTCATGTTAGAGACAGTCTCTGTTCCCCTTATTAAGGCGCCACTTGAAGACTGAGCTGCCATGGGCTACATCTGTGCAGGGGTTCTAGGTTATCTCCATGCATGGTCCTGGGTTGGAGTCACAGTCTCAGAAAGACCCTGTGCCCAGATTTTTTGGTTCTGTTTCTGTCCTTGTGGAGCTCTTGTCCCTTTCATCTCCCCCTTCTTTCACAAGATTACCTGCACTCTACCCAAAGTTTGACTGAGTCTCAGCATCTGTTTTGATACCCTAATGGGTAGAATCTTTCAGAGGCCCTCTGTGGTAGTCTCCTGTCCTGTTCCCTGTTTTCTCCCTCTTCTGATGACCATCCCAACATTTTTAAAAATAAGAGATTTGGGGAAAAATAACTAAGGTTTCAAGGAAATGACTTAACAGGTGTATAAAAATGTGTTAATATGCAAACAAAACAAGAGACAGTAATTTCAGCAGGAAAATTAGGTTAGGCCCAACGTTTAAATAAATGAAAAGTGTGTCAGCAAATAAAGTAGATGCAGTGGAATACTCTAAAAGTGTAAATTAAAGTGACATAAGCTAGCTTCTACTACAATTTTTTAAAAACTTTCTAGACATATCAGAACCAGGGTGTGGTACAGTGTACAAAGTGTATGGGACTCTGTGAAGCCTACACCCATTTCTGATTTTTCTCCTGAGCTAAAATTTCTTTATAATTCTACTTTGCTTCCTGATTCATTCTGCAAAAATAGATACTGTGGTCTCCAGTTTCAGGTTATGAAGTCAAAAGGCTGTAAACTACACGACTATGTGAATTCTAGATTCTCTGCATTGCCAAGCTATCAGTTACTTAGCATTAGGGAATTAGACACACACAGTTCTTGTGTAACATCCTTTTTTTCCCCAAGACTTTTTTTTGGGCCAGAAATGGTTGGGAAGCAGAGGTTGGAGGATATCTGGGAGTTAGAGAGACCAGCATGGCCTACAGAGTGAGTTCCAGGTCAATTAGGGTTATATAGTGCTGTCCTATCAATAAAAAGGTTGGGTGTTTGTTTGTTGCCTGTGTTATACACACACACACACACACACACACACACACACACACACACACACACACACACACACACACACACACACAGTTTCCACCAAGGCCAAAACAGGTATTCAGATCCCCTTGAGTTAGAGTTAAGGGTCTTTGTGAGTGGCCTGATATGGGCGCTGGGAACTGACCCATAGTCCTCTACAAGAGCTTCCCCTCGTGTAACATTATGAACAAACTCCCAAAGAAAGAGTTCAGATGAGCATGTATGAATCTAACTAATAATTAAGATAGGTGAATGTGTAAAATGAAGAAACCGGAATTCAGTGTATATTTCAGAAATAATTGTTTAATAGTTATATGCAAGTAAAAGTAATATATAACTATAATATACATCTGAAAGTCAAGCCTGTAATAGAATACTGGAAGAATAAAGAAGTTAAAGTTTACTGAGCTTTGATTATAATAAAAGGACATGGGAAGGCTCATAGGGAGTTAGAAGTTGTGAAGGAACTAGACACATGTAAAATTAAAACTTTTTATGTTTTATAAGTTTCGGTAGAAATGCCTACAGACAGAAACCAAAGAGAGTTGTAACCATATTGTGATTATATATACATAAATATGTTACTATAGATATATAGTATCTTGAATATAAACATGTTTCTCCTACATGGTTCCTTCCACTAAGGTGCAAAACATTTGTAAGATACATACATATATATATATATATATACACACATATATATATATATATATATATGTAAACATTATAATTTTTGCCTTGATTCTAAAAGAACTGTCATTTTTATGTCTTTATTTAAAAGATGATGTTATAAGTGATTTGCTGTTGTTAAGTGAATTATTTGATAAGCAATAAACCTATGTAATTCTGTATCTCTGTATCTATTTTGATGTCTTGCCAGCTTAAAATCTAGACTTGTTGAGATCATGTAATTTTTTTTTAGTATGCCTAAGATATATGAATGTGTCTCAGAAATAGAAAGAATTAATGAGTTAATACTACTCAAAATGAAATAGAATAATAATGTTTTCAAAAGAATACTAAACGATTACATATTTAAAAAATTGAATGGAGCTTAGATTTGAACCATGAATTCTGTAGCTTAAAATATTGGTGCTCATATTAGAAGATGGAAGAATGAAAACTTGTGCATAAAATTGTGTATCTAAAGTTTTTCAGTTCTTAAAAATACGTTGAAAAGGTGAATGACAATAGTGAGTCATTTTTGTCAGTTTCAGTCATAACTTGAATTTGTAATTACCTTTCTGATTGGCTTGTGTCTCGTGGAAGGAACCATATGAGCAGAAATATGTTTATATTTAAGATAGTATTATATGTCAAGCCTATCTGGGATTTAAGTATCTAAAAAATTTGGCAGATTATGTACAATTAATTGTGTCTTATTTAGGGCTTTTAATGAATTTGAACTTGCTTTATGGTGTATTGGTGTTTGGTTGAACTTTAGTATTAACTATATACTAGGCACTATTTTTGGTACTATTTCATATTGCTGTTTGCTTGGATACATACTAGGTGCTATTTTTGGTCTTGGTTACATGTGGCTTGATGCTTGTGAGAGTTAAAACTGCATCTAGTGCATACAAAGTTTTAAAAAAGAATGCTGATTGCTTACTTGACCCTTCAACTGCATGACAATCCAGCTAAGAATCGTACTTATTTAATGTTCCTACTCATCATTTGTTATTTGATTTGTTATAATTAACTCTACATTGTTTACTGATTTTTATTTTCAGTTGACAGGAGTTATGAAGAACTTCAGTGGCTACTTAATATGATTCAGACTGACCCTGTCCCCTATGTAAGGTTAGTTTATATATTTAATATCTTGATTATAGACCTGAAATGGGTCAGATCATGGCCAAAGATTGTTATTAGAAAGAATTTTTTAAATATGGAAATAGATTACACATTTTGAAGCCTTTTTCTTATTTGATTTTAGAAAAAGATTTTCAAAATACATTGTTAATTTCTTTTAATTTTTAACTGCTGTTTTAACTTAGTTTTATAACAGTTTGTAGTGAATAGGAATCATGACTTGTATGTCCCAACTTATAATTGATTTCATGTTTTTATGTCATTTGGGAGCTTATTTCAGGGCATATTTAAAATTTTTTGTTATGTGTATTTGTCTATATGCATGCATGCACATGAGCCACAGCACACACCTGGAGGTCAGAGGGCAAGTCTTCACCATGGAGCCACATCACCATTCTCATTTGTTCATTCATTTCATTCAACACCTTACATTTTATTAGAGTCGGTATTTTTTTGTTTTGTTTTATTTATATATATATATATATATATATATATTTTTTTTTTTTTTTTTCTAGACAGAGTTTTTCTGTGTAGCCTTGGCTTTGTAGATCAGGCTGACTTTGAACTCACAGAGATCAGCCTGCCTCTGCCTACCTGAGTGCTGAGATTGCAGGTATGTGCTACCACGCCAAGCTTATTTTTTTTAAATTTAAGAAACTAGAGGAATTAAAGTCTTGATGTGCCATTTTTGTTTTTATTTGTGCTTACCTCTAGTAACTGCTTTTATTCCTGTTGTTTTTTTAACAGTATTTTTTTTAATATAGAATTAAATTTAACCATTTCTGTCTTCCTTTCTTTGCACATAGTAGATACTCAGATTTTTATTTGATTTGATAATATGACTTCACAGAAGAGAATTTTCAAGTTGAAAAACATTTCATCTAGGGGCAAGGACTTAGGCTTAGAGAACTTAAATGCCTTGTTCAACTTTCCACATCACTTGGCAGAATTTTTTTTTTTTTTTAATTACATAAACTCTGCCTGCTCTTCTTTGAAGTGCCTCTGGGTGTGAGCAGTCTGCTCAAGGGTTTAGGCACAGCTGGACTTGGTAGCTTATGGCTTTAATCCCAGCACTTGGGAGGCAGAGGCAGGCTGATCTCTGTTATTTTTAGGCCAGCCTGATGTATAGAGAAATTCCCGGACTGCCAGAGCTGTTACACAGAGAAGCCCTGTCTCAAAACTAAACAACAACAACAACAAAACAAAACAAAAAAAAAAAAAAACAGCCATCATGGTGGCTAGAAATATGGTTTAGTGGTTAAGAGCACTAACATCTACCATCTGTACTGGGATCTGATGCCCTCTTCTGGCATGCAGGTGTACATGCAGATAGATAGAGCACTAATATAAATAAATAAATCTTTAAGCCAGGCAAGGTGGTACATGCTTGTAATCCCAACACTCAGGGAGGCAGAGGCAGGTGGATCTCTGTGAGTTTGAGACCAGCCTGGTCTACACAGCAAGTCCAGGACAGCCAAAGCTACACAGCAAAACCTTTTCTTGAAAAACCAAAAAAAAAAAAAAAAAAAAAAAAAAAAAAAAAAAAAAAAAAAAAAAAGGAAAAGAAAAAATACAGGTATAAGAATTAATTGTATTTCTTTTGTATTTGTATTTCTTTTCATATAACTTATTTTCAGTTGTGTTTAAAGCTATATATTTCCTTTTTTTTTTTTTAACAGCCTTTTAGTAGTCTTGTTTTGTGCAGTCTTTAATGTCACATCTCAAAAAGGAGCCAGTAAAGTCCACATCTCCCACTTACACAGACATGCAGCAGAAGGGCAGTGAGTTTAGTTTCTGTTTTTCTTTCTTTTCTTTTTTTTTTTTTTTTTTTTGAGACAGGGTTTCTCTGTGTAGCCTTGGCTGCCTGGACTCACTTTTTAGACTGGGCTGGCCTCGAACTCACAGTGATCCACCTCTCTCTGCCTTCCTGAGTGTTGGGATTACAGCGTGTGCCACTGTACCCAGCTGTGTTTAGTATCTTAAGCTGCACTCAGCCAGTCAGCTTTCCTTTCATCTCCTCCCCAATTGAAAGTCCAGCTGGATGTCCTACTATTGACAGTACAGTGTAAAGATTGCCCAGAATCTCAAGTTTGGCCATCATCTGTGAGTTCCATCGCTTTTTTTCCTCCTTGCTTATATCCAAGAGCCTACTTCCTTCTTAATTCTTACATTTTTTGCTTACTCTAGTCCTGGCTATGTATTTTTACTAAATTCTAGGCTCCCATCAGGGCTTTCTCACCCATTTTTCTGTTCCTCTTTCTATGCTCATAATATCAGATATTTTCGTTTTAAGATTTTGTTTTGGAGGCTGGAGAGATGGTGCAGCAGTTAAGAAGACTGACTGCTCTTCCAGAGGACCCAGATTCAGTTATCAGCACCCACATGTCAGCTCACAACTTTAAGATCTGACACCCTCACACAAACATACATGTGGGCAGAACACGAATGCACATAAAATAAAAATAAGTAAATTATTAAAAAAAAAAGATTTTGTTTTATTCCTTGTACCTAGTCACCTAAAAAAAACTGCCTCTGACATAATCTGATTGGCCTTCTCTTTGATCACCTCCCCCTGAGGGGGGAGCAGCTTTACCAGGCCACAGAAGATGACAATGCAGCCACTCCTGATGAGATCTGATAGACTAAGATCAGAAGGAAGGAGAGGAGGACCTCCCCTATCAGTGGACTTGGGGAGGGGCATGCGTGAAGAAAGGGGAGGGAAGGTGGGACCAGGATGGGAGGAGGGAGGGGCTTATGGGGGGGATACAGTGAATAAAGTATAATTAATAATAATAAAAAAACAAAACAAAACTGCCTCTTATGAGTGAAAACTTCTGCCATGGAGTTTAACGTTTACTCCTGAAAATATTCTTCCTACTTGCCTCTTATCATATGCAGGTTTTGTGCTTGCTTGTTTGTGACAGTGTCTTGCTATAAAAACACAGCCTAGCTTTGAACTCGCCACTATTCTTCTGCCTCAGCCAGAGTGCTAAGACTGATGTGCCAGAATGGTTTACTGAAATGCAGCTTACTGTGAAGACACTCTCCACTCCCTTTTTTTTTCGTATGTTTCATTGTTAAAATGTGTCTGCATATTTCCATGCTTTTCAGGGGTGCTGTGATAATGAAGTTTATATTAATATTAATATTGGACTGTTGGCCCATGTTTGAAATTTTTTATACTATTGTCCTGTTTTAAAGATTTTTAAAAAAGATTTTCATACTTAATCACCAGGCAGTTGTTTGGTTTGATTGCGTCTGTTTTTAATACTCTTAAGAAAATGAATGAGATGAACTGGGCGTAGTGGTGCATGCCTCTAATCCCAGCACTCAGGAGGCAGAGGCAGGTGTATCTCTTGTGAGTTTGAGGCCAGCCCGTCTGAGTTTCAGGACAGCCAGGGCTACAGAAACCCACTGTCACGAACAACCGCCATCCCTCACCCCCCTCCCCCAAGAAAGAATGAGATGGTTAAGATTATATAGTAAGATTGTAGTAGACCTTGTTCCATAATGGGAAAGGAGAAAATAGTTTTACTATCTTCTAGAGTGTCTTCTATTATTAATAGTTCCATTCAGCAAATGGTCAGTAAAAATTCATTTGTTTATTTTTCATTCTTGCAGGCATAAGATTCTAAACATGTTGACAAAGAATCCGCCATTTACAAAGAACATGGAGTCTCCTTTATGCAATGAAGCCCTGGTAGATCAACTCTGGAAGCTCATGAATTCTGGTAAGAGAGCAGTTAATTTTTTTTTTTTTAACTTTGTTTGATTCTTTGTGAGTTTCACATCATGCACCCCAGTTCATGCACCCAGGGGACTCCTTGTCCCCTCCACCCTTGCAACCTCCCCCAAAAGAAAATAAAGAACAAACAAACAAAATAAGCAAAACAGCATAGAGAACATCTGGTCATGGAAACTAGTGTGTCATGGTGTATCCTACAGTTTATCCCTCTGTCTACACATCTTCACTTGCAAATATTCATTACAATGAGTCATTGGTCTGTTTCGAGAAGACTAGTAACTTTTTAAAACTTATTACTTATTTCATTTTACAAAAGATTTTTCAAGGATATGAGAGAGAAAGAGACAGAGAGACAGAGTAAGGAGTGTATGAGTGAGTATATAACCTGGAGCTTACTAACTGCCTCAACTGGCTGGCCAGGAAGCCTGATGGTGTTGTTTCCAGCTCCCTAGTGTAGGAATTACAGGTTCATGTAATCATGCTTTTACATGGGTGCTGGGGATCAAACTCAGGTCCTTATGGTTAAGTTGAATGCCTCTCTTGTGTGACCTACTCTCTAGCAACTCCTCCCATTTCTCTTTTAAAATAGGTTGCCAGGTTTTCACATGAAGGTTATAACAGCTGTTAAGGATGTGTTCACTTTGTTCCATATGGTGGTTGCAGAAATGGAAAATAGTGCAGGTTTTTTAAGTAGTTAAAGGGCTGTACACGTGAACCTTCATAGTCTTCCCACCTCTTTTTCTTGGCCTCCGGTGGCTTTATTCAGAGATTACTAATTTTTTCATTTTTCAGGACGGTGAGCGAATGTAGAATACCAGATAACCTGCAGTTTTAAAGACTGCATACTGTGTTTACATCTCAGAGAACATGCCTTCTTATCGTAGTGTGAGTTTACATCCTTTTGAGGGAGGTCGGGGAGTGGAAGGACATAGTATGTAGGGTACTAGCGCTTCAGCCAGTTTGCCAAACATAAACCCTAGCTCAGTTGTTAATCTTCGTATAAGGAGTTTAAACTCTGCCAAATGCAGAGTTTACCAGACTCTTTACCCAATGCAGGCAGTAAGATCTGCTTCTGCTTCTCATATATTTGAGCTTTGTGTGTAGTCGGGGAATCAAATCCAGGATTTTTATTAATTAGCTATACGTTCAGCAGCTCCTGTAGTCACTTATCTCTAAGTCATTTTTATGTAATTCATTAGTTATTCTGAATTTATCAATGTCATATATGTTGGAAGATAGTTTTTGTTGTATCTCTTAAAAGATTGAAATTATAATACAGCTTTTGGTTGAAAGGTTTAGTCAAAAGCTAGGCTGAAATTATTTTGCTTAAACAGTTGTTGCAACTAGAGGGAGACCAGTAGGTATTTATTATAGTACTTAATTTTTATTTTCTTACACTTAAAATTTTTGAGTATGATACTTTATTGCCTCTCTAGAATATGGAAATAATTTACCATGCTATCTCATTGCTAACTCATTGAATCACGAATTCTAAATTCTAATGCTTTAATTTTTATACGTAGTTTACTAATACTGAAATGCTAAGGACTATGTAACTCCTGTCCTCTTATTTCACAATAATTGTGCATAGTCATGGGAAGTATATCAGTGGATGGCCTTTGTCTTTACAAAAATAAAGCAATTATAAGAATATACCCTGTATACGAATCTGAACTAAGATACTGCTAGTTATCTTTGCCTACTCACAAATGATTGTTGCTATGAGCACAGAATTTAATATTTTAAAATATTTTGTTACCTTGAAGACATCATTGTCTCTTTTACTTAGATTCAGGAGGTAAGCACACATTTCAGAAACTTTTGAAGAATTATTCAGCAGTAAATCTTTCGCGCAAAATGTGCCATGTCAAACATTAATAAGAATACGTGACTGATCATAATAGCTCACAAAAGTGAGGAAGGCATAACAGTTATAAAGTATTCTCTTATTACCTTTTGAGAGAAGTTTTTGGACAAAAGGAATGATTCTTAAGATTAATGGGACAGTTTGATCCCATTAGAAGATGACAGACAAATTAAGTGTCCAACTGATGTCTTGTCTTTGTGATAATATCCGATACAAAGAGCCATGTGTGGTGGCACATGTATGTAATCTCAGCACTTGGGAGGCAGAGGCAGGTGGATCTCTGTGAGCTTGAGGCCAGCAAGGTCTACAAAGCGAGTCCAAGACAGACATCCAAGGCCACACAGAGAAACCCTGTCTGGAAAAACAAAAAACCAAACAAACAAAAACCAAAAAAAACCCCCAAGTATCTGATATAAAGTACAGTAGCTGCTATACTATATGGAGATTCTCCATGTAAGTAATTGACACTGGACACTGAGGTCAGTGAGGCTGTAGTACAGAGCAGTTTCCTGGTCAGCTTTAAAATGTATAAATGGCTAGAAGCAGTGAACAGTAAAAGTAACATGAAAAGCTGGAAGGGTATGTATTTACAAGATGGTTTTGGAAAACACTGAATGTTGATTAGGAAGCTGGGCTGAACCTCGGGATAGAATGAACCTTATGCAAGAAGCTGCTTTATGTTAAATTTTCAAAGATTGTTTTCATAATAAGAATTATATAATCATGTTAGAAAATAATATACAATTGTATGATATCACTATAGATTTGAATGTATTTGGACTTTGGAGAAAAAAAGCACCTCTCTGTCTCTGTCTCTATCTCTCTGTGTGTGTTTGTGTCTGCATATGTGGTGATCTGTATTCTATTGTATGTATGTTGTTGTGATGGTAAGGTTTTACAATGCTCGAGAGCAAGCCTCGGACCTGGAAGGTGATATTTCAGAGCTGCACACTAGCTACATTTCAGGCAGAAACATTTTAAAGTAACACCTGGCATTTTCTAACTCTGTATATTATAATTTTAATGGTTATTCTTTTATGAATGGTGCCATATTATAAGCAAAGATGTTAAAATCATTATCTAAGTCACTAAGTCTTACTGAATTCTGTGTGTCTTTTTTTGCTGGGTTTCCTGGGTTATCTGGTAAACAATATATAAAATTATGTCAGGAACGAATAAATTGTACTGGAGATGTGGTTCAGTTGGCAGAGTGCTTACCCAGCATGCATACAGCCCTGTTTTTTTATCCCTGGCACCATATAAACTTAATTCCTCTCTAATTCTAGGACTCAGGAGCTGTATCAAAATCAAGATAATACTTCAGTACTTGGTGAGCTCAGACCAGCCTGAGCAGCATTAGATTATCAAAAACAGGCTAACTGGCAATGATTTAAGTGTGTAGACCTTTAAATATAGGTTCCACTTAATGTATGTAGATCATAGGCATTAAGGAAAAGATACATAGGTATAGAAAGATTGGCTTAGCTGATTTCAGAAACTTTAATAAATATTTAATGCAACAATGTGAAGATGTTTAACAGAGTATTTCTTCCTCTGTAATAAATCCATGTTTAGAATTATGTTATATCAAGAAGTTGTTTTTTTACCATGTTTAATGATTTTGTATGTGTGTATGTGTATGATGTGCACATGTGTGCATGAGCAGAGGTCAGAGAACAACTTGTGGGAGTCAGTTTCTCCTCTTCCACTCTGGGTCCCAGGGGTCAGCTTCAGGTGGTCAGGCTTGGTGGCAAGCACTTAACCATCTCGCTAGCCTCCTTAACCATCTCGCTAGCCCCATTTTATTATCCTATTTAAAACCTCAAATTAATAAATTCATAGAAAAGATGTATGTGTTAGTACTTGAATACTAATATATTAAGAAGTGGGCAGAGAAGAAATGCATGTGGAATAATTGCTGAAGAGGAAGAATGGAAAGAAATGTTTAGAGTCAGAACAACCATCTTATTTAAATCTTGTTTTACTTGAGCTGGCAAGTTGGTGTGGCTGATATAGGCTCTTGCTACCAAACCTGATGGTTTAGGTTTGACCTTTAGAATCTACATGATGGAAAGAAAGAACTGATTTCTGCAAAGTGTCCTCTCGCTTACAACACAGCATCTGTACATGTATATATATATATACACATACATATATGCATATATGTATATACATCTGTACATATATATGTACAGATGTTATGTATGTTATGTACGTAGGTATGTACGGATGTAGGTATGTACGTAGGTATGTACATACATATCTACAAACATACCTACGTACATACCTACTCAACACACACAATTAATTAATAGATTTTTAATTTCTGAAGTTGTTTTTGTAAGGCTAACGATGTGGTAGTGAAGTTCTCTTTGTCTGCCTCTTAGGTACTGCACATGACTGGAGGCTGCGGTGTGGTGCTGTGGACTTGTACTTCACTCTGTTTGGCCTCAGTAGACCTTCCTGTTTACCTTTGCCAGAGCTTGGGCTTGTTCTTAACCTAAAAGAGAAAAAAGCTGTCTTGAATCCTACTATAATTCCAGAAGCCGGAGCAGGCAACCAGGAATCTACGAATAACCCAGGCTGTCATGCACAGTTGGCTGGATTTCAGAACCCTGTGAGTATCATATTAGTACAGAAGACAGAGCCTCACTATGCAGCACCCCTGAAGAGGACAGTGTTGTCCGTGAATCAGTCAGTTTTCTAGCCCAGGTCACTGCCATTTTAACCCCATAGCTCATGTTTGCTTAGCATTTTAAAATTCATAAAATGCTGCTGCCATCACATGAGTAAATGTAACAAGTGTGCTCCAGTCTACTTGTGTGATGATGTAAGATTCTTTTGGCCCATAGGATTTCTCCTCTGCATAGTACTACTGCATACAGAGTCAGTTCATAGAGCCTGTTAGACAGCAGCCTGTCTTGTCTGTGTGGATCAATGGCAGCTGGTGGGACCCTGCCTTTGAGTTGCTTGCTGCACAGGATGAGTATCTGGCAAGTGGTTTTGAATGAAAATAAATAATGAGTAATCTGATGATTTGGGAGGAGATGGTACAATACATTTTTTTTTTTTATATTTGTGGTTTTTGCCTTTAGAAAACCTTTTCTTCCTAGTTTTCCACTGTAAATTGCCAGACCCTGTAAAAAGAACGTGTGAATCATTTCACTATAAAAGGAAATCTTTTTTCCTTTTATATCTCTAAAAGTTGACAGACACTTCTGCCCCCACAGAAGATGGGAAA